AACTCTACTCTTTTTAATTCCCCACTCATATTTTGATTTCATAATTTACCTCTTTTTATATTGTATATTCATTAACATATTATTTTACTACAGTTATTTTACTACTTTTGTCCTTTAAATTTATACTAGCATTAAGTGGTTATTATATATCATATTATAGTATTAGTGCATTCTGAATTTGATTATATACTTACTTTACAAGTGTTTTTTTTTTTTAATTTTTATGTTTTCATGTACCTACTGTTCTTTGATTTTAGCTTGATGAACTCCTTTCAACATTTCTTGCAAGGTAAGTCTTATGGTGATGAATTCCCCCACCTTTTGTTTATCTTGGAAAGTCTATCTGTCCTTCAATTCTGAAGAACAACTTTGCCTGATAGAGTATTCTTGGTGGGCAGGTTTTTGTTTGTTTGTTTGTTTTGTTTTTTTCTTTTAGCACTTTAAATATATCATCCCTCTTTCTCCTTGCCTGTAAAGTTTTTGCTGGGAAATTCACCTAGAGCCTTGTGATGGCCCCCTTATAAGTTATAACTTCTTTTTTCTTGTTGCTTTTAAGATTCTCTCTTTATCTTTGCTTTTTGACATTTTTATTTTAATGTGTCTTTGAAACCATATCTTTAAGTTGAGTTTGTTTGGTGACCTATGAGCTTCATTAACTTGGATATCCAAATTTCTCCCCAGATTTGGGAAGGTGTCCTTCATTATTTCTTTAAATAAGTTTTCTGCTCCCTCCTCCATCTCTTCTCCTTCTGGGACTCCAATAATTTGCAGATATCTTCTTTTAATGGTATTGCATAGATCACACAGGCTTTCTTCATTCTCTTTCATTCTTTTCTCTTTGTTCTCCTCTGACTGAATAATTTCAAAATTCTTGTCTGGTAATTCACAGATTCTTCCTTCTGCTTGATTCGTTTTGATGTTGATGGTCTCTATTGCATTTTTCATTTTATTCATTATATTTGTCAGTTCTAGAGTTTCTCTCTCTTTTTAAAAGATTTCTTGCTCTTTGTTAAACTTCTCATTTTGTTTGTGTATTGTTTTCCTGATTTTATTGACTTGTGTTTCTGTGTTTTCCTATAGCTCATTGAGATTCCTTAAAATAGCTGTTTTGAATTCTTTATTGAGTAAATTGCAGGTCTCCATGTCTTTGGGGTAGGTTACTTGAACATTACTGTGATCCTTTGGTGGTATCATGTTTCCTTGATTTTTCATGTTCCTTAAAGTTCTACTATCTTCACATTATCAGCAGCAATCTCCTCTTCTAGTCTTTACTGACTTTGGGAAAGAAATACCTTCTGTCCATTCTGCTAGGGATTCTGAGGCTTTGTCAGACCTTCTACTGGTATGCCCTTTCCACACTTTTTGCTCTCTCCTGTGGCAGAATTCTTAAGCTTGTGTGCCTTTTCTCTGTTATGCAATGCACCAGGCCAAGTGCTGACACCTCCCTTTTGCTTTCCCAAGGGCAGCGCTAAAGCTCAAGTTTGTGGTTTCTCCTCGGCTTGTAGATTTGGGCTATTTTTCTGCACATGCTCACTAGCCATCTACCAAAGCTTAGTCTTGCCAATATTAATGGTATGCCCAGAAGACTGGCCATAGGATGTGAGGGTGTGTGGGTGAGGCATGTGAAATGCTGGGGGTAGGTGTGGGCCAACCGGGGGAATCCATGGATGAGGTATCACAAACAGCTCATGGGAAGGCCTCCTGATGGAGTCTGATCAGTTAGTAGGATCTGCACTTTTTTTTTTTTTTTTGTAATGCCTTCCTAGAGTCCTGTCACTCTTCCAGCCTCTTCCAGCCTTTCCAGTACCCCAATCATGCAGCTCATGACAATACTCTGAATGGAGTGAGAGGGAAATGGAACCCATCTGGGGAAGATGAGTGCTTACTCACACACTTTAACTTTACCCCATGGGAGAAATCATGGACTAAGAAGGTCTCGCTTGGCACTGAGCTGTGTTGCCTTGGAGAAAAGGGTTATGTAAGTAAAGTCAAACTGTTCCTCTTACCCTCTCTAAGGCATCCAAACTTGTATTTTTAGCTCCAATTCTGTGATGGAACTTCTCTGTCAGAAACCTGGACTTGCATAAAGGCTCTCAAGTTCATGCTTGATCTAAGATCATGTTCTCTAGGAGTTCCTGACTGTGACTGAGAGGGGCTGAAGCTGGTTCATGGGTCACTTCAGGGTCCACAGCCAGAACCAAGGTTGGTATGTCTGTTATTTGATGCACAGGTGGGCAAGACTCCTTCTGGTCCCTAGGCATATGGTTCTGGATCCCACAGCTCCCACAAAGACACTTCTGCCTGTGGATGGATACCAAATTGTTGTAGAAAGGGGGGATATGACAAGAGCATCTTATTAGCCATATTGTTAATGTCACTCCTCAAGGAACTTTTGAAGTAATGGAACCTGGGAGTTCTTTGGTAATTGTTCTTTTCATGTGGCTCATCTGGATTAGTCACTAGATGGCTAAAGCTGGATAAATATGCCTGAGTCAAACTAGCTTTTCCGCCTTAAGTTAACCAAGTGGCTAGAATCTATTGATGCAGTTTGTAGTGTAGAACTGTCTTAGAGGTCTATTAAGCCCCTGGCAATGATCTGGGCTGATGTGTAGTTCAGTGTACTACATATCTAACTCAAGGTAATGTGTATTCCTAGGTATAGCCCAACAAGATCACATTTCTTCCATCAAAGTCACCATTACTCTCAGAATGCCTCGTGTAAACAGGGATACTGGAACAACCCTATGGAACTGATTTTTTTTTTTCAAATTCTTAGATCTCCAGTTTCTTAGGTTATTAGTACAAAGAGGTAGGCTGTACCAGAGGAAGGGAATGAGGAAGAGAAAAGAAGATAAAGGGAAATGTATAGAAAAAAATGTTACTAAAGAAGACATAGGTGAGCTAGGCTAGTGGGCTATTTAATCAGAGAGACTTTCTCATTGATAGTTCAGGGATGTGTCTTAACACTGCTATGTTTGTTAATGAAAATGGCCTATGCTTCTACTCACAAATTCTAGTTTGATGCCCAGTGTTCCAGAGCTCAGATATCTTATGCCATGGACTCTACCTGACTGATTATTCTTTTATATTTTTGAAGACAAGGAATGATGAGACATTAATATAGATGCTCCTAGTGTGCCAGTGTTTAGAGGAATGATTCTGCATGTGGCTGGGGGAAAAGACAGGTATTAATGCAAAAATTATCAAGAGGCCAGGGTGTCTGACGCATTTGTAAAGCAGCAGTGTTGAGGTACGTGAGAGAATGGGAACAAAAACGTTGTAATGAATTTGCTGCCCTTGGGCTGCTGTGATCGAGGGCGATTACTTCTGACTGGTGAATTACACCATGGAATATTGATTTCCTTGTGCAGAACTAGGGCTGGGCAAATGGTTTGCCTGACCCTTTTACACACGGGCTGTGCTACTGTTGGCTCAATCAAATGCTCCCTAGATGAAGAAAGTCTTTCATTCTTGGAGGGAGGCATCCTGTACCCAGAACATGAGGAAGAGAATGCTAGTGAGAAGGATAAATTATCCATTATTCTGGATCATGGAGTGTCTGATGAATTTGTTTTTATTAAGGAAAATGTCCTGTCCACCTTAGGCCTAACAGAAATGGGGAGAAAACAGTGGTGATTTAATTTCCTTGGCTTCCTGTGGACTGTGAGCTATTTGGCGGACAGGAAGAGTCAGGATTACTAGCTGGTACAAATTGCTAGCTAGTACAACAAGTTTGGTGTTATCTAAACTGGTGTCATTGTCGGAGTAAGAAACATACTCTGAGAAGTCAGTCAACAAAGGGTTTGTAGGCAAAGAGCTTGAGCAATTACATCATTATGGGTTGTATTCCTAAATGATGAGCTCTAGTCCATATGGGACTCCCTGGGTGATTCCAGAAGCGGCTGCTTTCTGTTCATTTGATTAAAAATCAAAGCGTGTAGGACACAATCCATATCAAATATATTTGAGAAAGGTAAGCATCCTATAAGGGAAATCCAGAATGCAACATCACAGTAGGGTCCTTTAATATGGGTTAGAATAGTCCACAAACCATCTATAACCATCTAGAGCATTTTATAAGCATTTTTGGAGCATGTGTACTTGTTTGGATTTCTTCTTAAGAATGTGACTGTATTTTTTTCTTCAGATTTTCAAAGAATAGCCTAACATCCAAAGCTTTGAGAAAGATAGGCTTCTTAATCCTTATTTCTATGCCAGAAAAAGGGGTCCTTCCTAGCCAGGTGTGAATAGCAATACCTCTTACCTATCTCCACAAGACCAATTCAAGTGTGGACTTCTCTCGTTTTGGGAAATAGATGTGAACTATGGAAGAATGGAGAAGGAAAGTCCATAGTGTTGCAGACCTTAGGAGGCCTTTTGAGAGCAGCTTGTCCAACATCCATTTTAGCAATTAGGAAATTGAGGCCCTGGTAGGTTCGATGACCTGTTACAGATCCCACCACAAAACCTAGCCTATGTTGAGCTAGAACACATCCTTTGGCTGCCTGTTTCATATTCTCTCTACTCTAGCTATACTCGGCCCTCAAAAAATGAGGGGAAGTTGGTATGCAATAGCATGTGCTACCTTTAAAGTATGAAATTTGATTGTATTTTGCCTAAAGTTTGTCTAGGAATGGTGTTCACAGTGACTCCGGTGAGGAAGGAGGCAGGGCCTCACCTCTACCCTCTAAGAACTTACTTTTGGCACCACAGGGCACATTCACTGTGTGTAAATATACACCCCCTCCCACATACAGACTTAGGAATAAGTTGTGTATTTTGAATTTCTTCTCTATTTTATCATTTTATTTTCATTTTTCTTGCTTATTAAACTCTAAGATGGACACTTAGAGAACAGAATTTTGTGTTTACCAGACAGCAGCTATTACTGTACATCTTAGTTCCTATCTGTCTTCCTTTCCAAGTGGCCAAGTACAATGAGAATAATTGTGGATGGGAATGAAAAGAATGACATGGCACTGGCTTGAATTGGTGACATGATAAAGCATTTATTTTCTTTTTCCTTCTCTTTCTAACCCCTTCTTCCAAAGGAAGACAAGGAACCCCTCACCCACGTGTGTGCTCTATGGCTTGTGCTCTTCATCCCTTTGCAGTTCACAGAGTGTAGGAGATATGGCTTGATGGCTCCACCTGATCCTTCCATCAACTTTGCAAATGAGCCTTCAGAAGAAACTGAAGCTTAAGAGAGTGGCCAGGAACAAACATTTGGAAAAAGGGATTAGGGATCATACAGTTTCCAACGCCAAACTCAGTCTAATCTTGGCCCACTGCCTCTTATATCTTCATGCTCGTCACAGAGGAGTTACAAATGAAGCATAGAGTCTAGGGGCAGGATGAAAAGTGAGGGGCACTCAGTAAACTTGGAATTGAACCAACAATACACAAATATGTCAAATGAGACCTGCCCAAACATTTCTGGACTCTTGAGCAGAACACTTATCAGGGAATGTGATATAATTATTAAAAATACTATCTGGAGACCTCTCTGTTCATTACTCTCTCCTATTATTTTAAAAATGGATCTTGGGAATAACAGGTGCCATCTATTTTGAAGTATTATGTAATTTAATAATTACAATAAATACTTCCCCACACACATGTGCACATGCATGCACATACAAGCACGCACATGCACGCATGCACACGCACACACACACACACATTCCTAGTGAGAACTCTGAGTATTTTGTTTAGCTCCAATATCTTTTACTTTTCTAGACTTTAAGATGTATGGCAGTTTATTCTCTTGTTTTACTTGTGTCGTATAGAGAGCAAAACTGAACAGCAGCTTGGGGCTAACATCATTTCCTGTTCTAGAAAAAGCTACTGTCTTTTATTAGACAACACTCCTTTCCAGGTGCTGTGGTGTCCATCCCTCAAATTCTCCTTAAGGAGTCACTTCACATGTCTGTAGAAATGGCAGCTTTGATCATGCATGTCCCCTTCTTGTAAGCCATCCTGGGAACAAGGACAATGCATTGGCTCTATCACTCACCCCAATTCACACCTTCCATTGTCGTTTATCAAAAACACAATTTTCCAAAGTTTTACTTGCAGAAATCTTATTAAGTCTGAAATTACATGATTGAATTTTGAAGATTGAAAATGATTAGTAATCCCCCATCATAACACCTTATATAAAAGATAAAGAGAACCCAACTAGCTAGTAATAGAATCTGGACTAGTTCCTAGTTCTACTGATCAGTAGTTCAGTTCTATATCCAAAATACTGTACTGATACTGAGAAATTCCAGAATCAGAATCACTGGAAACCAGGTAAATGCTATGGCCATAGCCAACTTATATTTCTAGGAAGTTTTAATCAAATAGATATTCTGACAGAGGTACAATTCATTTTCGAATAATGTTAACAATCCCTGAAGTATAGACATGAATTCATGTACCTTAACAATATGTCAGAAGCAATGTCTAAGTTACATGGAAGCTTGGATGGCGGTAAGATCAACATTCAGAAAATGAAAGCCAAACTAAGCCTCCTTCATAAAAAATAATGCACCAATACGCTTCAGACATAAATTATAAGAAGTGATCATATATTGAGCTCAGGAATTGGACAGTCTGCTACAGAAAGCTATGTTGTTCTAGTCACATAATGTGGATAAGATGGGAGACATATGAAGTTGTGAGGGACAGGGAAATTAGAATGAAGATGCAGAGACTCAGAGATCTCAGTTACTCACAAATCATGGGGATATTCATTTACCTTTATTGCCTTGGAGAAAGATAGAGTTGGACACTCGTGGAAACAGCATCTGAATTAAAAGCAGAGAGAGGTAAGGATTGATGCTTTAGAATGACCTGATTGAGGAGTTTAGGATGATAAAGGAGACGCTAACTATACAATCAAATCCCAGTGAGCAAGTTGTGAACCAAATTAGGTCTGGGATTTAGTTTACCTTTGTTTTTTTGTTTTGTTTTGTTTTTTCTTAATGCTGGAAAGAGGTATTATTTAGTGCCTCTCTCAGATACACTAATCTCAGTTCTTTTAAGTTGCTTATCTGATGAAGAGAAAATGGCTGGCATGTGCATATACACTTGGCCATAGAAGCACAAGGCTGTGTAGGCTTATCACGAGCAGGGACCATCTACTCTGCTATGTCTCTCCTTTGCATAGATTTTTGTTCTGTCCTGAGAAGTACCTCAAATTTGTACCATTGTAAGTATAAAAACATGTAGATGTTTTGCTGATCCCAGATTTTACGTTTTTTAAAAAATCAAATGCACACATTAAAGGGACGTTTCTGTGATTGATTGGTGTGACTGCCCTCCCTTCTAAACTGAGATATACAATAAAGATAAGTCAGTCTAATGAAAAGTGCTAAATCTCACTCCAATTTTAGTGTTAATTCATTTGTTAACTTATCTTCAGCTTGAAGAACAGTAACTGTCATTCATCATCACCATCATTATCACCATCCACAGCAACAAAAACAAATATTTGTGGACCATCAACTGTGATTATAGTTCCAGATTTGGAGGTTCCACTCATCAGAAGGCTGTCCTTGGACAAGTACTCATAATGCTTCAGGTGAGACACCTGAACCCACTAGGTAGAAGAATTATGGGGAAAAACTTAACTACAATTTGTGAGCCATTGCCCATCTGTGTGGCTAGAAAGGAACAGATATTCTGTTGAAATAAGATGATTGGGGTTCTTTAGGAGTTTGCTTAGAGTGGTGAGGGCTAGAACATCCCCCACCACCCCACCCCCTAAACACAGGAGAGACTGTTATGGGATAAAACCTGCCAGACTTAAATCATGGCTCCCCCAAAGGACATCCTAAAGTTGGGGGGGATGCTGGATGAATCCTAAAGTATGCCAGTCTTGAGTCTCAAGGAGTCCAGTACACTTGAAATCCAGGCCAGCCTAGGAACAGTCTTCCATCTGTATCTGTACCAAGAAAGATAACTTCAGACACTATTCAGGATGTTTTTCTTTAATGAACAAGAACTCTCTGGCCAAACTCCTTTTCCTGAAAAGAGACAGGCCTGGAGAATTGTCCCTATAAGCTCCTAATCAAAGCCATGTCTTCCTGGACTGAACTGTACATCTGGTTAAAGGCCCTTTCTTGTGAGCACATGGATGCTCCCTTTAAAGACTGAAATTTGGCAGATTGGGACTATGTGGCACACAGAGCCGAAAATGAGAGGAACTCCCTCTTGCTGCAGGATAGGAGGTTCTCCTATCTGCTGAACCCATCAGCCACGCCAAAGCTGCTTCTACAAGGCCCGTGCTTTTGAATAACCAACGTTCTAAAGAACCACAAGACAACAAGGGCTATTGAACTCACAAATAGGTAAATTTAAGCCTTCCTCATCAATGCCACTTTATAGACTTCGCTGTGACTGACCAGTCCCTCCTGGGAGGATGGTGAAGGAGTGATCTAAAGCATGCTCAGTAAGTATGAAAGAGAAAGCTCTGATTCAAATGGAGGCCATGTGTCCCCGTGCTCCCACGTTCCAAAAACTCTAGGAAGTGTCTCTTTGCAGATGTTTTGGTACATTTTACTCAGAGGTGTCTGGGCTCAAGTTTAGCATACGGGAGTTACCCATGTCCACTTTAATCCCATGAACACTATGACCTGCTCACAAATCCTCCCACCAGTGCCTAGAGTAGTTTTAGGCAAGGGAGAACTGGTAAATCTCACCCATCCACTTTCAGTCTAAGGACACCTAAATCCCATGCCTTAGCAGTTCTGGGATATAAGTGAGGGCTAATTCCAAAGCAGCCAAATTTCTGTGAGGTTTGGCCAGACTGCTCCAGATCATGCTGCTGGGAAGAAAGGGTAGCTGGCACCTGGTGGTGAGGGTGGAATGTCAAAAGGGCACAGAGAGACCTGAAGTCAACAATCTTTTCTCAGTTTTGCTAGTAACAGCCAGAACCGAAACTGCTCCTTCCTAAACATTGCCCATTCCTCTTGGCTGGAACTGAGCCCCGAGGACACAGGGACGGTAATTCCTGAGAGTTTCGGCTATGACCGCATTTCTGCCTCTCAGTGAATCTGCAGCTACTAACTTAATTCCCAGAATCAATCAGAACAGATTAGAATTATTTAAATGCTATTTGGTATTAAAATCTATTTTTTGTCTTACTTGTGACTAAAGGAAAGGTTTGGGGGGTAGGCATGGTGGGAAGAGAGTCCCTAAAACACTGGTTGGTAGAATTTGGAATTATTTAATACTAACCCAAAGTGTTTTGAGCTTTTTTTTTTTTTTTTCCTATCTTTTCTTTTCATGATAGCTGCACTAGGCTGCCTCCCAGAAATAATCACACATAAAAGCCTTTCCTTAACCAGGCTTGACATTTTGCCCAGGTTGCGAAGTGGGGTGTTTGGACACAAGCGGGATGCTGCAAACCTCAGCCACTTCTTGAAGGCATTGGAGATGCAGTCCTCATGAGAGCCACCCCTCCTTTGCTTCTGTTAGGAGGATGAAGGTGGTTTCCTGGGCCCATCTGTCATCAGAGCACATCCACAGAAAAACCCACTTCACCCCAACGAGGGAGCTAAAGGGCAGTAGCTTGAGTCAGATGCGCATTCGCCTCCATATTCTTCACACCTGAGCCAGGCAGGCTCTCTTGCCCCTCACCCCCACCCCCGCTTGAGAATGAGGTACCACACCAGGTGAAGAGGGACATGGAACACTTTTTAATGTCAAGTCAGAGACAACCCCTCCCTCCCCTAGCCCCCAATCCCACTTTCCCTCATCACATCCAGGACCCCTCCCCGAGGCCTCTCCCGTTCCCAGACTTCGGGGGAGGAAAAAAAGGTTATCTAAAAACTGCATTTTCTTCTCTTTCATACACACACACACAAAGGTGGGAAATTAAATAAAATGAACCGAGAGGATTCAATTCTCCAGTAGTCACGAAGGCATCAGAGATTCCCATAATGGTCTAAAGCAAGTGGTTACTAACTGTTTAGTTGGTTCAGTTGCTTGCTGTTTGCTCACGCCCCGAGGCATGATGGAGAAGCCAGGCCTCCTGTCAGGGCCTTCGCCTCCGAGAGCCACACCTGGAAAACATGCTGCGCCTGGTGTTAGTGTTTTGTTCTGTTTCTCTTTTCACTTTTTATAAATGTCTCTGACGTGTAAATAACCCAAGAAAATAAAAAGGCAGGAGCTGATTACACAATTACCAGTAAACTCTATCATCTTTTAGAAGATCAACACACAGCTAACGCCATATACAGCATGCAGTAATGTCTGAGAAAGGACCCTGCTGAGAAATAAAATGGCTAGAACTCTAACAAAAAAAATATATGTATATATATACTGTATAATATATGTCATCAAAAGAAGCATAGCCAACAAACTCAAGATACAGTGCAGATCACCCTTCCATTTCTAAACAGCAGGTAGAAGCATAGTATTGTCTGCATTAAATGCCAGGATAAGGAGAAATCTGTAGCGCTGGTGGAGATGTTGGTTAAATTGTATGTGTTTTTTTGGTGGATTTGACATATCCTCACCAGGTGGTTAATGCCCGGTGTGCGGTCCACCAGTTGTAAACCTAGTTAAGAAGTACACTATTTTTAATGTTAAACATACTTCTCCTCACCCCTTTCATTTGTGTATTTTTTAGTCCTGTCTTGTTTTTGCACTAAATTCTAGACTCATATCAGAAAATATAATTAATAAAATTAATAATGAACCAGAATCCCTTATTATCCATGATGTCCATGTAGTGAAACAAAAACCAAAAAAAGAAAAAGTTTAACAATATCTTGTGTGACTGTTGATTGTGGGACTGTTGTAGCTGTCAGGCTGTCTTGTTTAGTTTCCGTTTTCTTTCTTTCTTTATTTTTCTTTAATTTTGCATTTTGTAGCACACTGAACAGTGGCACAGTCTCTGAAAGGGGCCACGGGGGCACAACTGGGCCTGCACGACTCGCTCTGTGTTCATCTCTGTTGAATTTGGGGTGGCCGGCTCCAGAATTTTCCTCGCTGTGGGCACGGTAGTGGGCGGAGTGGCTGCGCCCAGCCCACCCTGGTCACAAACAGGTCACAATGCAGCTGCGGGCGGGTCCAAAGCTGGGCGTGCGTTCTTCCCGTTTGGGCAAAGAAAGAAAACTCAGCTGTGCCTACGGATCCGCAAGGCCTGCAAGGCGATTTTCAATTTCCCTTTTAAACGTGTTTTCCCAAAGTATTCTTTGTTCCCCTCCCTCGAATTTGTGTCCCATTAGGCTCTGTGTCTCGGAATTTCATTTGATTCTAGCTCATAAGAAACGGGGATGCTCTTGTTGCTGTGGGAGATGCCGTTGCTGTGGGGCAGGTGGTTGCCGTGGCGGCAGCTTCTCCCCAGTGAGGCAAGTGGCACTCACATCAAAACTTGAGGAGTAGGTGCAAGACCAGAAGAGGTAGCAGCCAGATGCAGCCTGCCCTCCTCGACGTCCCGTTGTTCACTTCGCTGACTGCGCCGGGGCCTGTGGAGAGAGCACACTCGTCATGGGCCGCCTGGTCTAAGAGGGACCATCTGTCACCCGATCACCCTCTAACTGGGACATTTCATGTTCCTGCTCCATACGGGGGGGGGGGCACTAGAAATAACCTTGCACAGCTTGGATTCCGTGGATGCACACTATATAATGGGGAGCTTGCCTTTGCACGAGAGAACACGAGGCTCAGGTTCAAGTGTGCTGGTGGTCACGACTCCTTTGCTGTGTGGTAACATGTTAAGGCCATGGCTCAGGTCAAGTGCAAGAAGAAGGTGGCAGAATTAATCCATATTCTATAAAGAGCTTTGAGGAAGTGAGACCCTTGTAGTGTCTGCATCATCATCTGACCACTTCTGAGCCTGCCTTGAACATGCACATAACCCTCTAGCAGCTCGCTCTGTTGTGCAGGGAAGGACCTGCTGGACACAACAATCTGTCTCCACTCTGCTGTTGCGTCGGACTCAGCGTCCGTTCTGTCAATCACTCTATCTCGGGCCAGGCACTGGGCTTCCACCTGCAGCACTTGGCCTCTTCCCCATCTGGACGAGGTCACAGCAGTGCTAGCTCAAGTATCCCGTCCCTGAAAGGCCAGAACCAGCCCGCTGGACGTCGAGGTGGCATGAAGTAAGGAAATGGGTAGCCTTTTGCTGTGTACCTGCAAGTGAGGGAAGGCTTATGTGGACACTGGGATGCACAGCCTGCCGCCGTGTGTATCTGCGGGTGAGAGGCGCACCTCACTGCAGACAGATACTCTTGGGAGACAGGACCAAAGGCAGGAGGCAAGGAAACCATGAGGTGCATGGAATTTCCCAGCAGTTTCTCTATTCTTTGAAACATAAGCGTTCTGGCCAAGAATGCCTGTAACAAATGGAGCATGAATCATGGACAGTACCCACAAGTTTGGAGGCTCAGATGTGTTGGGTACCTAATGCAGTGGGCCACCTTGTCAGATTGGACTTGCTCTGGAAGGCTCTGTTGCCCTGAATTTAACAGAGGTATTTAAAGCTGGTATCCCCTCTAAGGCCATGTCCACACTGGGGTCAAGAAACAAAGTCAGAACGTGCTTGTCTGACTTGGATGCTAAGAATCAGAGACATTTCTGGCTAAGGCAGATCAGCATCAAACCAGGCTTTCTCGATTCCATACAGGATGATTCCATCATGTCCTAGAACCCCTGGCCTGGAAGCACTGCCCATCTAACTTTAATTCCTAGACCTTTGGGACAAATCTCTGATTCTAGGGCAGTGGCTAAAGAGATGATCATGAGTTTGAAATGGACTGGGTCTTCCAATCTCATGTGTCTGTGCTGTCTGGTTCACAGTATTCCCAAGGCCAGGGAGTGTAAGTTCTCATGTTAAGAAGCCCAAAACACATGTATTCTGCTCTCCACCCAGCTGGGAAGTAAACCTCTGGGCAACACAAAACAAAAGGTATGTGTCATGGAATGCCCTCCTTCTCCCAGTCCTCAGTGGGATATAGGGGACAAAGGAGCACTCCTTTTATGCTCCAATGCCTTACATTTTAACTTCAGAGATGCTTATCATTTACCATTGATCACTAATTGTCTCTGTCTTGTAACATTTAACTAGTATGTTTCTATGTAAACCACCATCAGGACTCCTTTTTTCATATTCGATCTCTGTGTTATCCTTAGAGCATTCTTTGGAACCCCAGGAGAGAAGCCACTCACCATGCCTTCTAGGCTGAGGTGGTTTGTTCTCTCCCTGGAGGAAGCCCTGCTGCTCTGGGCCACTCCAAGATCCTTCACATCAAGACCTTTGCCCACGACTGAGGCTGACTCTAAGCCACAAAGGTTGTTTCTGAGGTCAGTGGGCCAGCAGGTCTTTGAGGAGCCGGGTTCCATGGGACAGGCCTGGTGGCTGCACTCCATCTTCCCATGCGCAAGGCACGAGGATTCCAAGGGTGTTCTGCCTGCCTGGCACAGAGTGCTCCTGGCCAGACACGCATCTGTTGGTGCCTAGCTCTCTTTCTCTTGCCTGTCTTTTGCTCTCTTGAACACTTGCACACACAGCTTTGCAGCCCACCCCCCCACTCCCTCCAGCACATTCCCACCCTCACTTCCAGCCCTGGCCACGGCTCGGAGGATGCCCTGCGGTAAAGGAGAAGAGAATAAATGCCAGTTCTCTGCATTTCATGGCTCTGGGCTTCCCACCTGCATTCCCTCCTCTCGGGGCCGCCCAGCTCATGGGAGTTGCCAGGGAGGAAAATGGAGAATGCCACAAGCCAGGCAGACAGCCCAGCAGGGACCCAGCTTCATTACCATGTAAGAAAAGTAGAACCGTGTTTGCAGCCAGGGCCTCTGCCGTGCTGCGTGGGAGGCGGCTGTGGGTGGGCAAACAACCCCCAAGGTACCTCACAATAGCTGGAAGCCTCTGCAGGTGCGCGCTCTGGGCACCCTGTCTTTGGCTTCATTGCTAAGCCCCTCAGAGTTCCTTTGTGGCTCTGTTGCCTGCTGGGAAGCACCACAGAGAGCCTGCAGAGAGGGGTCCTGACCTGTTGTGTCAGAAAACTCTTCCCACAGAAGAAAGGCAAAGGCCACCAAGTTTGCTGGAGCCTCCTCTTGCCTGCATTGTTACCCTGGCCAAGCTCACAGAGCCTCTCTGCTGCTCTCCTGTCCTAGGCCCACAGGGGACTGTCACTCACTGCGTGGGACCATGTCCAGCCTGCCCCCGCCCCCCTCCCCCACATTTTCTCCCCTCACCCTAACTGATCCTTCTCTTGGGCACGTCCAGGAAACCTGACCTGGACAAAACTGATCACAAGGAGGAGGAAACAGGGGTTGACCCCAGAGAAACCTCGAGACAAGGGTACTACTCCAGCTGTCCTCTGCATCAGCTCTCCTTTCCATTGCCATAAAAGTTCACAGATTGGGCCTTGCTCCCTGTGGCCTTGACCCCTTGAAGCTATTCTTTATGCTAATTCCAGAGCCGTGTTGCTATGAGTCCACGTTCATCATGATACTAACCTATGTGATTCCTACAGCCTTTACAAAACTTCCCAACTCCTTGGTAGAACATTCCCTACATTTCATCATCTGCTTGCCATCTGCCTCCTCAGCCACTGTTCCTGCCACAAGTTCTTTGGTTTCTCCCTGCCTCTCAAGCACACGGGCGCCCCGTACATGTGTGCTCCTACAACTGTGTGTGCGTGTGAGCCATATTCCCTTTCCTTCCCATCCTCATACCCTCTGCCCCCTGCCTGAAGTGCTCTTCACCCAAATCACTCCTCCAGATTCCGTTCTGGTCCCCAGTTACCTCCTCCAGGCAGCCTTCCTTGACTTGGCTGCTATTTTGCTTCCATAGCACCGTTTGCATCCAGCTTCTAAAATACATACCATCTGTGTTATATTTCTCTCTATTTATCTAACATGTATTTCCTCTTCTGTGTTATAAGCTCCTTAAGGGCAGGGTCTGTGTCTAACTGGGCCCATGGCAGGTATTTAACAAATGTTTATTGAAAGAATGAAGGAACCAGAATGTTTTGATGCATACTGATGTGTTCATGTTTACTTTGCCTCTGTGTTTTCCTTTCTCTTAAGATTCTACTGAGAGAAAAAAGCAAAAGACCAACGGAACCAAAACAAAACAAAACGCTCTTTCCCTACCTTCTTCTTTATCTCAGTTTTCTCTTCCAAACACCATTCACCTCTTTTTCTATTTCCAGTAAGAGTCACAGAAAGTTCTTACAGTTGAGGGAAAGTATACATAGAAGTAAAACCATATCGATTAGGATTTTGGGAAGAGTTCTTGCAGTTGGAAGGGTGTCCCAGCCCCCTCAAACACACTCAGGTACGAGATGAGGATTATTCTCTTCAGCTCTCATATGTGGAGACTTAACCTCAGAAGGCTTAATTGACTTCCCCAAGCTCACCTGACTTCTGTCTCCAAATACAATTTTCTTTCCACTAACTCGGGGCCGCCACTGTGTGTAACCCACACATCTTCCAAGAACGAGGAGAGGAGAGGAAGTGAGGCCACGGGGCCTGGTGCCACTTGGGCACTGGGACAGGTGGGCCCTACACAGGCCACCCCCAGTCGCCAGCATATGAAAGAATTTCATGAAATGAGGGCCTTTGTCCAGGCAGGTGTGGATCCCAGCATCCTGGGGCGGGGCCCTCTCAGAGCCTGCTCTGGCCAGAGCAGCAGCCCAGCCCATCCGCCCATCCTGGTGACATGGGCCACACAGATGAGGGCCGTTCATCACGCAGCCATGCCTCCACTCTGCCTCAGATGCCTTTATTCCCTTTACCTCATTAGAGAGCTGTGGAGGCCTAAAGAGACTAATTACCAGGACAGTTAGGGTCCCAGAGAACTGTGATGAGTGTCAATTTATCCATCAGAAACATCTAGTGGGAATGAAAGCCTCAAATAAGACATGTTTTATTCGGAGCCAAGTGACTCACCCAAGAACCTCCCCCTTCCTTCCATTTTCCCCTCCCTCCCATCACTTCCCTTCCAGCTCCAAGTTAGAGAGAGAGGAAGAGAGAAAGAGAGAACAGGGTAAGCAAAGACAGCATGCAAGGCCAAAGTCTAAGAAGACCATCGCATTAGAGCATCTGCGTGTGAGGAGAGGCCGGCCTGGTATGGAGCAGCCAAGACGTGCAGCTACTCTGGGCCCTGGCACGTGGCGCATTAGTGCCTCTAGCAAACAGCAGTTAGACGTCTGTGGGTGGAAGCTACCCAGGGGGAGTGGCAGGTCCTTGGAGACAGATTAATCAAGACTGGCACAGAGATGGCCCAAGGTCAGGGAAGGATCCCACTGGGCTGCTTCCTGGGGTTAGCTCAGAAGAGAAGGCATCTGGGAAGAAAGTGAAGAGTTTGGGATACCCATCCCCACCCAGGAAGAGATGCCTGGGAATAAATATACCAACCTTTCCAAGGGGTCAAAGTTGTAGTTTTCACCTCTAAAAGAAATTAAAAACAAGCCACTGTTAAGGTAGAAAGCAGTCAGAGGCACTTGCTTTGCCCTTGGCTCTTGCTGTCTTGACCATAGCCCAGCTCTCATTGGTGCAGCCCTCCACTTTGCTGGGAAGTTGCCATAAGGCGGAGTGGTGGGGGGGGGGATGGAGCAGGATATGAATGATGGTCAGATTGGATCATTGATCCAATGAGAGCCAACGCATCCATCTGATCGTAGCAGGAGACTCGGTACACCTTGGAGCCTGAGGCCCCAAGCCGATAAATACTTCTTTGTACAACAACTTTCTTTCTTTGGCCACCAGACTATCCTCTAATTAGTTGAAGTCTGTAGGTCTTAAGTATAAAATTGGCTGATAACAAATGGATTATACAAAACTTAGGGATTTATCTACCCGTTTTACAAACACTGTGCCAGAGGGCCCAGACCTGTGATGCCTGACCTCCCTGGATGAGTCAGACTATAGCTAGCTGGTCCAGAGGTGCAACCTCGGGCAATAAGACCCACACCTATTCTGCTGCACTTGCACTTGCTAGGTAAGACCTGCCTGTGGAAATTTACTGGGATGCCAGCTCTTCTCTGATGATTAGGCCACAAAAGACCCACATTTCATCAGCTTCAAGCCTTCAGAACAATCCACAGAGCCTTTCCTGCTAATAGTAGATGTCCCGCCCGAGTGGCCGGAAGTGGGCCCATCTGGAATATTTTACTTCCCACTTTAACTAGGGGTCTCTGCAGTTGTTCAGCCTGGATGCAGAGAAGATGCAAAATCCTTTCACAATGTGTTTGTGTATCAAGTCAACATGATTAAACTTTAAACATACTTTTATTTGTCAATTATACCTCAATAAAGTAAAAAAAAAAACAAATGCATGAAATTCTTTGCATCAAAGTGATACCATTCTCTGTGCAAAGGTCCTTGCATATAGAAGGAAAGACAACCTAGATATAATTCAACCTAAACTAAACTAAAACATCTGACCAACTTGAGATGAATACATATGTATGCCTTCAAGCTCTCTATCTATGCTTTTAGGGCACCTGAGATAGGATATCCCTCTTGACCAAAGGGGACAGTAACGATGCGGGAAGCCATTCTGAAAAAGATGTAAGGGGTGATGTATGATCAAAGATCAAAGGCATGATTCACAGAAGATGTCAAGTTGAGGTGGTAGAGAAAAGCCAGGAGTGCTGGTGACATGTTGTCTATCCATGTAGCGAGGACAGTCCCTTGGAGTGATTACAGGGGCCTCGAGACCCACCCAGAAGCAAAGGTGGGGCTATTTTCATGAAGTGTCTCACTCAGGTACGACTGACTTGAGTCTCTGTACCAAGAAGAAGGGTGATTGGCAGGAGGGAAAATGAAGAGGGACTCATGGAATGATAAAGTAGTTCTAGGCCTTCAACCCCAAACCACAAGCAGTGCAGATGTAGGTTACGTGTGGGGGAGGGCAGCCACTGATTGCTGGGGTGCTGATTTAGACTCTGCTGGAGGAAGGACACAGGGGAGGGTTCCACTTGGTAGTTTGGTTTGCTGGAACTATCAGAAAGAGAAATTAATTGAAAGCGTAAGTTTCCACAGTGATCTAGATACCAGTTGTGATTTTCTGTAAAGCAAAGATCTATAAACAACTTCAGCTGAATTGTCCCCATCCAGCTACTCTTGTCCCTGAATCTCTAACACACACTACCTGAATGAAGGTCAGTACTCTTCAGTGTCCACCTTGGCAAAGAACTATTTGACATTGAGCCTTAGCTAGAATGTATCCTTGGACTTTGCTAGATAGCAAAGTTTCAAAACTTCTACTTAACGGAAATGTCCTTCTGTCCGCCTTACGTATCACCACAATGAGGGGGGAATGTAGCCAAGATATTCTTTGTATTTACCCTGATGCTGCACTCCATCCCACTCCCTTTGACTTGGTACCAAGGAGAGATGCAGAAATGCTAACACGTTTTCTATATCATGCTTCAGATGGTATCACTGTTGCACCAGGTTGCAGAAGTGTGGACCTTGTTTGAGCCTTCAAGGTGAGTTGTAGCCACCCATCAGCTCATGTTACTGAGTTCGTTCTTGGCTATCAAGAAAACAAACGATCTCTGACAATCCAAGCATGTATTTTCCTTGCCAAGAACTTGACTGAAATTTGTGATCTTTTTGTTGATACGCTAATGAGGAGCCAGGTAGAATTGGATAAAATATTCAAAATAAAGAATGAATGAAAGAAAAGAGAAGAAGACAACAAAACAAAAAAAAAAAAAAAAAGAAAGAAAGAAAGAAAAAGAAAAAAGAAACACTCCCCTCAAGCCTCTAAGTTAGTATCTCTGGTCAATCCATAACGTGATCTTTTTGCCACCAAAGCCAATGCCTGCAGCTAAATCTAAGTACCGAGGTAAGCACAGGGCTGCTGTCTGATTCTAGTGGGCAGAGGAGAGCTGGTTTCACACCAGGATGGATATATTCACTGTCCAGAAAGAGGATGAGAGAACGTCTTTTTATACGTTCAGTGTTTAGACACACGTGTCATAGAAATGCTCACTGCTGGATGGCTGGGCATAATTAACTCCTTTAATCCTCTGCAGGGAAGAACTGATCATCTTTTCTGCTGCAGTTTTTCCCTCCTGATACACAGAGTTTACTTACTCCCCCATTCTTTAATAAGTTGGTTTGACAGTCACTGTGAGGTTCGCAGGCATTAATCAGCCAACCTTTCCCAGCCCACTGATACCGTCAAATCTTACTTCATGCCTAGGAGATAAAAGACAAAGGACAGTGGATGGGAAATGAACAGATACCAAGACGCTGAGTTGGCAGTGTGGGCCCCTGCACACTTGCCTGCAAGGGGGCTCGGTGAGGGATGGTGGCGCATCCCCGAGTCCTTATTTATCATGGCAGGAGTCCTGCACCACCAAATATTAATACGAGAGGGTGACATGCAATCTGTTGTGCTTGCAAAAGGGGAACAGAGAAATACTTCAAGGGTGGGAGAAAATGCAGAGGAGGGATGAAATTCTCTTATCAGAATCTCTCTAGTCCATCCAGAATCGAGTAACAAAATAGCTTAGAACTTCTCGTAAAGCCAAGTGTACCCTGTCCGTGGAAATCCATGCATTTGTATAAATCTTGCTTGGTATTTCTGAGATTAGATGAGCATAACTTAGGGGTATTCCCTGAGAAAATAGATGACTCTCTATTCTGTGGGAGACTAGCAAAGGAGGAGGTAAAAAAAAAAAAAAAAAAAGAGAGAGAGAGAGAGAGAGAGAAAGAACACAGATGAATGGGAGAAATGCCCCAAGTGCAAGGTCTGTTTTCTCTAAGATTCTTTGGTTGTACAAAAGAGTCCAATAGCTATACTGAAGACCACATGAATCCAAATCTTGGAACATTCCAGATGTCTACAGTCTATAACTTCTGGCAATGACCCATTGCCCTGTGCTCGACAAGAAGGATGTGGGGTTGAGAGCAGCCTGAGAATCTGAGTAGAGAGCTGGCGTACAGATCCTTTTACCCACATTCATGGTTGCAGCAGAGAGGAGTGAGGCAGGACAGCTTTGTCTCAGCAGGTGGGGCCTGGTCATAAAGTGTCCTGCCCCCGCTCCCCTGCTCAGCAGCTAGAAGGCATGTGTTTGTTTCTGCTCTGTTTTGTTATCATTGGTACTGGTGTGGGATCATGCCCCCTCTATCAGGTGAGTACACCTTTAGGGAAAGACTAACTGCTAAGCAGATACTGCCTATATAGGAGAAGCTCCTATTCCCTCTGGAAATAAAGAGCTAAGTGATCAGAATGAGTTCGGTCACTTCTGAAAGGACAGCCTGTAGCACCATCTGTCTTCGCTCCAGTCCCTCATGCCTCCCTTTTACCATTTATGGTTCGCTACTTTCCTAACGCTCTTGATTTTAGATCTGTGACTATCCCTGCACCGGGGTTCAATAAACGTAAGTTGAATCATAAATTGGACCTGAACGCTTCCATTGACTTCACTTTTACTGTCTATTTCTTTGTTTCATTTTCCTGTTTGTGGGGCATCACTACGGCACCCTATATCACTAAGGTGAAGAATGTAGCCCTGAATCTTTTCATGATAAATGTATTTTTCCTCATCTATCAAACAGCTTCACATGCAATTTATCTCCTTCCTTCTCCTTCCCCACCTTGCAAGTCTACTGCCGGCCTCCCTTGAGGGTTCACGTGGCCAGATGGGAAGGGATGCGGGGGGATGGGTGTGGGGGTGGGTGAGATGAGAAAGGTCAGGCACTGGGGTGGAAGGTGGGCAAAGCCTCACGGCTGCCTTCCAGCTGGGCCACCCTATGTCAGCCCTGTCCTTCGGAGGAGAACTGTAGCATACTCAGCAGGGATTCAACTCCACCACTCGGCCAGGCTCACTGCTGCCCAAATGCTCAGGCACAGTCTTAGTGAACCACCTCCGCTAGGTTCATGGACTTTTGTGAGTCACTTATGGTAGGCTAGTGGACCTTGAGAAAATTGGAAAGGCAGTGCAAAGATGGGCCGGCGAGGCAGGAGCTGTATATGGGGAAGGGCTTGAAGTGGAATAGGACGTAAAGGGGCTGGGGAGAAGAGCTCTGATGTGGCACTGAGGGAAATTCCTGTCTTTCAGTCTGCATCTGGGGATTGGACTGGAGTGATTCAAAATGCACCTGACAGTTTCCAAAGCCTTTTTCCTATGCAGTTTCAGCTGAATGTTGGAACAACTCTAAGGTAGATAAGGCAGATCAATTCTATTTTATAGAAGAGGAAATTGAGTCTCAATAACGTTTAGCGACTTGCTCTAGAGCACAGAACTACTAACTGTCATGCTCTGAACTTGATCTCAGCGGCATCCCATTCCAGGTCATTGTTCTGACTGTCATGCATGCTGCACCCTCCCTACCTGCCTTTCTTAGAGAACCTCTAAATGGAATAGGACGTAAAGGGAGGGGTGCTGATGCATTCTGAACCAGCTGATGCATTTTAGGGAATACTTAAATCTTCATGCACACAGTGTTTTCTTCTGTTGCTCAGGGCCCACTGATAGGATTTTTGCTATGAAAATTGCTCGGTGGGTTGGACTGTCTTCCTATTGGTTCAGACTCATGCTCTCTACCTTTGACCTTTACACAGATCTCTAGGCTTTGAGAAGTCAATGGTGTTTCTTTTCTTTTCCCCCACCTGGCCCTTCTGGGGAAGTGTGGGCAAGGTGTGAGCCGAGAGAGGAGAGCTACCCCTGGAGCTCCATCAGCTCCAGTGACCTCCTCAGCTTTTGCAAGCATCTTCTAAGCAACTTCACAGATAGGTAATGCGGGGTGGGGGAGGGGAGAGGGGGACTCTGGGAGAAAGGAAAGGGGAGAAAAACCATAAAGCAAGGGGGATACTGACCTTGCAACAAAGTTGAGCTTGTAGGCTCATTTAGTTCTAAATCGGGTGAGGGACATACAGGAGAGAAAAATGAAAACAAACACATATATTATATACAGCCGCTATATATTTGTCATATATAGTTTGTATACTGTCTTTCACATACATTTCTGGGGGAATGGATAAATAAAGAAGACACAAAAACCAAAGGTGGTAGGACAGGATGCATCATGAGAAACACTAATGTGCCTTATGCTTCCATCCTCGGATGTGATGGTTGGAAAGTGAGGGAACTGGCCACTCATACATTTCCCAGAGCTGTGCTGAGCTAGGGGGCTGACGCGGTAACAAAGGACCAAAGTCCCTTTCTAGGTGAGGTTTCTGTCCCACATCTTACCCCCATTGTCTCACTTCGGGAGACCAAGAACAGTAATTTCTGATCCCATAGCACCACAGCGGGAGCAAGATGGCGCCAAGAACCACCATGATTCGGCGTCCTGGGAACCCTGCAATCCCTGCAGTCTTAGGGAGCAGATGCTCAGGACACTACTGGTTCATGATAGGAAGGATGACCCTGCTGCATTTGGATATGGCCATGATGGAGCCTCTTTGCACAGCACTCCTCACTTTCCAAAGTTCAGGTCACATGATGAGGGCACGCAGTTTGTGTGAAAGGGTAACAAAATGGTGATAAGGTAGCTGGCTTTCGGTGATGCTCTAGGAGAATGGACTACATCACAAAGTTCACGGATTAGCATAACACAAATGCTGCTTCCCCATCTGCGCAATCTGCTTGATGGGTCTGGGCTGAGGGTCTGCTGCTGATAATGGGAGATGACATGGAAAACTCCAGTAGAAGTTTGTATTTGTGATTGATGGTGGGCCTCCATCATGAATTTTGGGACTGCCATGTCTGGACTAAACCTCAGCAAGAGCCAATGGGGTGGAAACACCCACCTTGCACACTAATGACATTTGACTAGTTCCATGGAACTATGTCAGCCATGGGGCATTTCGGTGATGGGCTCCTCACAAATTGCCTCTCATTTGAGGCTTGAAAATTGCTTTCTGTTGGATTAATTTTAGAAACTGCTCCATGCTTTTTCTCCCTCTTAGAGAATTAGCATGTGAAGAAACTCTTGGAGATCTCCACATTAAAGAACATTCCCACGTGTACTCCATTCATCTTGTTTGACCCAGTCTTTCTAAACTTATCTGAATGCATACTGTCACTTTTCCATGTTTTTTTTTTTTAGAGAATCCTGGACTCCAGAGGGCTGGCAAGTGGAGGAACGTCCCAATGACACACACGGTGAATACAGACAGACCAACGGTGGGGAGGCAGAGGTTCTAATTGCCATGCAGGGGTCTGCTGAGAAGAGCAGATTTATGGCACATGCTTTACTGCATTCCTTCTCACAAACACCAGCTATTTCACTCTCAAAGTTTGTGCCTTCTCCCTGTTCTCATCTTCAGATGGCTTAAGGGGAAGAGGCCAGGGAATTACACAGTAGTGATAAGGCCAATTGCAAAACCATGTCATGCATCCAAATCAGAAGAACAAGGAGGTCAGAGGAGGAGGAAGACTGTTTATAGGAATGAGGGCTACTGTGGGCGGGGGGGCAGGCCTGGGAAGGGGTGGACGGTACCGCTAGGAGAGCCTCAGATTTGCAAGGCCAGGGAAGGGGGGATCTATTCCTTTATAATCCTGGCCCTTCTGTTTCTGCAGAGAGACGCCTGCCAGAAAGCCAAAAAGACCTGACAAATGTGAGGGGCAATTATGACTATCCCTGTGTGAAGATGTCAGACAGATCAGTCACTCTAATCATAGCTCTGCCCATTCTGAGCTACCAGCTCTGGGATCAAGGGCAGCCTTCCCCTTCCCAGCCCCCTTAGATAAAGCTGGGCTTTGTTTTACGTGCTGGATAGAAGGGGGGGCTGAATGTGATTTGGAAGCCGAGATGGGACAATGGAGCCACACAGGCGGGTTATTCAGGGCAGGTCGGATACAATGTGCTGTGGAGGGATGCGGTAGGGGCTGGGGGCGAGGGTGAGGTAGTTGAAGCTAATGGGATTTTCCGGGAGTTCTCAGAGTAAAAGGAATTTATGTTCTTGCTAATTATCTGTTAACTTCCTCGCTTTCCCTCGCCATCATATTCAAGTGTGCTTGCTACCATGGGAGATTAGGGGAATGGATTTGGAAAATTCCAAGCTACCTGAGCCTGTGAGGGTATGGAGGAATTTTCCCCTCAATTGTGGCCTGCAAGGTGAATCTGCATCTACCAAGGGATGCAAGTCATCCCTGGATACCTGGAGTCCTAGCGGATGACACAGACCTACATATCTAGCTCACTTCTATGGCATTATTTGAGACATCCAGGGTTTAAAGGGGAGCTTGTTTGCTTGCTTTCTTTACTTGCTTCTGGCACCAATATAGTTGCCAGATATGTAAGGAAGGCAGAACGATTTGCTGTGCCCACATCAGTCCCTCAATAAACCGTTGTTTAATGAATTAATGCATGAATGACTATGTGACTTCTGTCAGGATGGTGGCTTGGTTGGACAAATATATCTTAATCCAGTCAGACAACACCCTTTGGTACAAATGAAGAGCTGGGGAAATCCCCATTTCCTTTGAGAATTCTCCCTCTGAAGCTAATATTCAGGATCCCAAGGCCTATGATTCTACTTTTACAAATAGAATCTACTTTCTCCTACATCCCAACAGCCAGGAAAAGGTTGAGAAATGGTAACATTTTACAGGACTCTAGTGAACAAAGTATTGAAATAGTAAATGTTCCTCTCCGAGTGCTTTGCTATTGTACCCAATTAGAACACCCCATCCCTTGTCAGTTGAGAAGCTCTTGAAGAGAAAAAATTAAATGTCACTTCATCATCCCTACACCCTGTCCTCCTGCCTCAGGGTTTTGCCCACTACAAAATGAAGCATGAACATTCTTTCTCATTTTTTCCCCTGCTAGCAGTAGCATTCTCTCTCTCTCTCTCTCACTCCCCCTCCTCTCTCTTTTCACTAATCCCTGCCCAGCTTCTCCTGATTCTCTTACACCTGCCACCTCACCCTGGCCGTTCCTCCCGACTCCTTTTGCCCCACAGGACCCTTTCCTGCTTTCTTTTTTTTTTTTTTTCCCCTTTCCTGCTTTCACTGCCCAGCTCGGGGCTCAGTCTTACCAAATAGCATGATGCTGGCATTGGTGTGGCCCAACTTATTGGAGGCCACACAGGTGTAGTTCCCATAGTCGTGCTCCGAGACATTGAAGAAGATGAGTTTTGAGAGAAAAGGTCTGTTTTCCACTTTGACCCCCTTCTTTCCTTCAACCAGTCTGAGACCAATAAGAGAGAGACAAAAAAGGAGAAAAAAGGAGATGGTTATATTTTTCTTATAGGGGGAAGACAGACTCTGGAATTACTGATCTTCTTATTGCCCCCTTTCTGACATCATGATGACTACTTTTTTCCCCACTCAACTAATGCAAGTTCACACACAATGACCAATAATTGTATTTTTCTATTTTTATGCATGTGTCTGGAGACACTCGTGGCACTACAGATATTCATCAAGTTCTCTGAAGGCAGGTGCCTTCAACACCTCAAAAGTTCCAGCTGTGTGATATTCAGACAGTAGGGCTCCATGTGTGCACTTAATTGATATTGATGATAAGGCTAATGAAAATGATGATGATGATGGCAACTATAAATAATTTTAAAAAAGCCCTTAATCTTCAAAGAGAAGAACTTGAGGGGTTTGAAAGGACAAAGTGTTTTCAACACCTGGGTGATAAATGTTCTTTTATGAACTTGCAGATAATACCTTATTTTTGGTGGTGAATAGAATACAAAAATCGGGGATCACTTTTACAACAGTGTACTCTGAAGGGCTTGGGAGAGGTGGTCTGCCCAGAGTATTATAATAACTCGGTCTAGAAAGGATTATAGATTCCTAAGAATCTGACCTTATAGAGCCTGGATGGTCTCCCTGAGCAATCCATTATGGCGGTCCAATAGGCCACAAGGGCTCGCATTTGTGGTAGGGGCCACTAAAGAAAGGCCACAGAAGGTGAGTGGGGAAAACAGATATCCCTGCTAAAGCCATAGATAGGATATGGAGAGGGTAGGGAGAACACTGCTTAGGGATTGGTGGGGTCATATCCTCTATTTCAGGATGCTGTCAGCAAAAATTCTTACTACCATTGCATGTCTACATAGAAATTATGAGACCAACCCTCTTCCTTTTAAAAACTCTGGAATGTCCTATTTCAGAGAATGGGCTTTAAGCCAACCTTTTACTTTCTCTGAAATCATTTGTCTTCCTTGCCCAGAAGCTGAGCCTATGCTATGGGAAAGATAAATGTTAGGGGGAAAAATCCTTCTGAACGGAGGATCTCAGGGAACATGGTTTAGGGCTTCGCTGGGACAGGATGTGTAAGAAATAAACAATGTCAAGGCACAGGGGACAGGAATTGGGGTCAATGGCTGGTTTCAGAGTCATCAAACTGAGAAAGACAATATTCAAGGCAGAATAGGAAGTGAAGCCCAGCAAGACAATGATGAGAAAATGCTCCATAAACTATAAAATGTTATTCAATATACTTAATTTCTGTGGAGTCAGACATCAAGACCTCCCGCCTGTTCCTGGGTCCCAACATGTTTTTGGCACAGAGGACAGCTGCTTTGTCATCATCAGAAGACGTTGTTCCTGTAGGACTACAGAATGTTTCTCTCTGCCTCCCCAACCCCGATCAGAAGAGAAAGTCAGGCTCTGGCTTCAGTTCTCGCTTAACATCTGTCTCCTGGGAAGTCAGAAGGATGGGTGGAGGAGCTTGCTTGTTTTTCATTATTTAGATTTTCCTCTGAGAGCCTTTCTCTCTCATAAGCTAAACTCAGTGAACTGGCCTGAGTCCACGGACTTCATTAAAATGTGAGCACTGTAGGAACGGAATGAGGCATCCGGCTGTGCTTCCAGACGCTGCTGTTATATTTCCAGCTTGTTATGTAGATATTGATCCTCTAGGGGGTGCTGTCCAAAGAAGGCTCTACAAGCCCACCCACCAGGAGGTTTTCAAGAGCTAGTCAAGTGCATTGATCCCATTTGCCATTCTGACGCCATTCCTGGGCTGGGGAGGAAGCCTTCACATCAGAACCAAGCTGTGAATTAGATTTCAGCTCTGCAGTGGGGAGAGACACTTACCCGAAGCAGGTTCCTGCTTGACAGCTCTGAAACGTCTTTAGCTAAAAGCAGGATGGGGTGGCGAGCAGCGCTTTGCAGCACTTTGCAGCTTCTGGGATGACATACTTGCCTCTTCTTTGTGTGGTCACACATTTCCCCATCCCATACTGCTCCCAAGCTTCAGGTTTTTAATGAACCTGAGGCTTTTCGTTGGCTCATGCCCCCGTGGATGGGTGGCTCTTAGTAAGTACAGCACCCCAGTTCCTCTCCCTTTGATTGATGACACACACAGTGGCGTGCAGTTGAGAAGTGCTAGGACATACATAAAAGAGGCTTCTACTGTAAATTTTGAGAAAACTGCCTGTCCCCATCATATAGACTCCTTTGATTTGCCTCGGGAGTCCGCTCGTGTCACTGGGAATGGAGCTAGGGTAGAGCTGCTCTTTCCTCCATGGGGAGCTGCCTGGAGGAGGTTGCCTGCCAGCCTCAGGGGCACAGGAAGGAATGGCAGCGACGAAGACCTCAGAGCCAGAGCTGTTCTTGCCGAGCTGGGTGTCAGGAGGACAGACAACTCCACTCCAGTGGGAGAACACTGGAAATCAATAAATGAGGAACATATGGAAAACTGACCAGAATCAATTAAACGGGAGAAAGGAGCCCCCATGAGAAGAGCTTGGACAGCGGAGGAATCAAGGCTGCCTGAGCCAGGGGGTTCTGAAACCACCCTGGGGATGCAACCGGGCTGTCTCCTCCTGGGAAATTAATGCGTACACAGGCGCCCCTCCTACGACACAGAGGGTGCAAAGCGGGGCTGTCTTTTCATTTTTTCTCACCACTGGCCATTTCTGTCTATGGACGGCTCTACTTTCCTCCACATATTTTAAGATCTCACTTTCCCCTACATTTGTGCTTACATTTTTCTCCCATAAAGAATTTTTAAAAAATAGGATGCATCTGATTAGGGGAAGACCCAGATACATGTTTTTTGTTACTGTTTTTTCGGATACCAGACTTTCACATAGGGGGTCCTTCAGTGGGAAGGCAGAGGGACCAGGGAAGCAGGACTTGCAAGAAAATGCTTATTTATTGGGAAAATGTTACTCCCTTCAGCTTGATTCTGAGTTCTGAGAAGAAGAGGGGAAAGCCAGCTCTTTCTTCTCACCTCTTCATGTGTTTGCTTTTCTTCCTTTTACCTCACGTCTTTCATCTCTAAAATGGGCCAGGTGAATAGGATACACATTGCCAAGTTGCTGCCAGGCTTTGTACTTCAAGATGGAAAAGCACTGCTTCTCACTTGGAAGGATCATGATAGGACACGACGAAGCTTACGACGGAGTCACGTGAGTCCAAGACTGGGAGAGCTTTTGGTGCCTCACCGACCTCATAAAGAAAGGCACCCACGGTGCACTGGAGATGTTCTAAGTAGTGCGGGCAACAGCTGGGTCACTGATGGCCTGGACCTGCTCCGTGTCCCCCTTCTCACAATCCCCCTTGGGCTGTTTTTCTTACCAGCTTCTAGGCCCCCGGAGCTCCCTCCTCCTCCACCCCATGTGCACCTCGGACGGTGTTGCATCACCCCCTCCCCATTTTTATCAAAGCGTTTTGAACATGGACAGCTCTTGCACATTTATTCATTGTTCATCCACTTCAGAATAGCTCTTTGATCACAGTAATTGTCAGGTTGCCTGGCTGTTCTGAGCTGCTGAACCCTGTGCTGACTTGCCATTTGGTAACTCCTCGCAAATGACAATCTTCCCCGAATCACAACAGAGATCCTGATGATGGCTGCAACAATGGGAGGGAAAGAAATAGTCCCCTTTCTTTTCTTTTACCTTGAAAGAACAGCCCGGACACAAAGGGAAGCCTAAATCGGGTCACGGACTCTTTTATCCACCACCACCGATGGTGTCCGGAACTGAACTGGAGACCTGCTAACTTGTTGGCTACTCCCAGCGCCCCGTGAACATTCCCATCTTCTTAATGCAAGCCTGAGAGTGTGTTAAAAATAGCTTCAGGCAGAACCCATTATTTTCTTGCCCTATAAAAAAAACATTCACAGGACCTGTGATGCTTCTGGTGGCCCTTCTTTGAGATTTTGCTTTCCTAAAACAATGTTTTCTTTCAGGCCCGTTGATTGGCGAGGGCTAACTCTACATGGAAATGTTAAAAACAGAGCTGGAAATCATGAATAATCAGACCCCCCTCCCCCACCTCGATAGCTAGTTGGAACTAGAAGAAGATTGTTCAGAGATTCATGCATAAACATCTGGAAACAGGAAGCTGGAAAAACTTTCTTCTCCTTGGGGGCAGGGAGGTAGGGAGGGTGTCTTTACCTTTTTTTTTTTTTTTT